AACGGCTGGGGTTTAGGTCTCTGGCTGCGAAGCCAGAAGTTGGGAGATCGAATCCCCAATGGTGCCTCCTGGACAGGGGCTGGACTAGATGATCCCACAGGGTCCCTTCCAGCTCTGCAGTTCTAAAATTATTACAGTGGTGCCTCGCTTAACGATTGCTTCGTACAACGAAAAATTCACTTAACGATGGCTTTTTCGGAGAGATTTTGTGCTTCACTTGATTTTCCCTATGGTCAATTTTTGCTTAACGATTTCGGGACCATGCTTCACTTAACGATGACAGTTTTAGGTCCCCTTGTTTCGCTTAACATTTTTTTTTACAGCCCCGTTTTTGCTATTTTTAAAATATTCTAAAATGTTTAAAAAATGTTTAAAATGCTTGGAATCGTTAGTGCACCTAATAAAACCTTCGTTAACTTAATTTGGCTTTGTTCTGAGTCTTTTAAAAATTTTTGTGAATTTTTGCCCCCCATTGAAATAGGCTTCAATGCATTTCAATGGGTTTCGCTTAATGTTTTTTCCTATGGGGATTTTCACTTAAGGATGGTAATCCGTTCCAATTGGAACGGATTATCCGGTTTTCAATGCATCTCTATGGGAAATGGTGTTTCACTTAACAATGTTTTCACATAGTGATTTTTTTTGAACCAATTAAAATCGTTAAGCGAGGCACCACTGTATTATAATAAAACCCTTGCCTTGTGACCATCCACCACTTCCTCAAATCTCACAACAAAGAGCTCTTTAAATGCGATTCTTCTTCTATCCTTCTGTGAAAATGTATCCCCCAGCTAGAAAAAGGAATTTATTGATACACTGAAAAAAAAAAAAAGAACAAAACTATTTCTCTTTCAGTTGCAGTGAAAATGTAACATTGTTATACTTGGGGGTTACTATGAAAAGGAATGCTCATAAATAAGTTGTTATGAGTTACAATAAAATAAAATAAAATAATCTGGAGATGTCTAGATTTTTGCCCTCTTAGAGAAAGGATCAACCAACGTGGCCAGGCCCTTCTTAATAGGGAGGATTCTGGGAGTTGTAGTCTCACTGCTGAGGATTCTGGGAGTTGTAGCATAATATAGAAGGTGCTTCCCAAGGAACTAGAACTCCCAAGAAGCAGAAGAGCAGCTAGGTTATTTTCTTTCTTTTTCTTTCTTTCTTTCTTTCTTTCTTTCTTATTAACAACAGAAGGCTGAGGGAGAAGCCTAGAAGTCACCAGATTTCCATGTTTGGGATGTAATTCCCCTGCCTTGCAGAGTTTGCTTGCGCTTGCAGAATTTGGAAGGGCAGAAGTCAGAACAGACACACACAAGCAAAGCCAGAAGAAAACTTTTTTTTTGCAAGGAAGTGCAGGGCGATAAGGGTGCGCAGTCCTTTTAACGATGAATACTGAGCTAAATTCCTTTCAGAACAGCTAAACCAGTGGGTCTCATCTTTATTACACAGAAAATATTTGGTTTCGCCCTTACCAGCCTCACAGGACTGTTGTTAAGGAAAAGGGGATGGAGAGAAACCCAGTCCCTCCGCCCAATCTTTCATAAGATGAAAACGTGACAAAATTGAATATATAAGGTAAAATAGACTCAGAAAACACAAACAAACACAAACTAAAACTACACAGAAAATATTTGGTTTCGCCCTTACTCCGGCCAGCCTCACAGGACTGTTGTCAAGGAAATGGGGAGGGGGAGAAACCCAGTCCCTCCGCCCAATCTTGTTGGAGAACGCATAAGATGAAAACGTGACAAAATCGAATATATAAGGTAAAATAGATTCAGAAAACACAAATAAACACAAACGAAAACACAGATACCATGTTTCCCCGAAAATAAGACAGGGTCTTATTTTAATTTCTGCTCCAAAAATGCATTAGGGTTTATTTTCAGGGGGCGTTTTATTTTTTTTTCATGTACAACCATCTACGTTTATTCAAATACAGTTGTGTCATCTTCTTTTGGTTGCATCACAAGGGTGGAGGGCGGGGGTTTCACTTAGCTAAGGCTTACTTTGGGGGTAGGGCTCATATGACGAGCATCCTAAAAAATCATCCTAGGGCTTATTTTCAGGTTAGGTGTTATTTTCGGAGAAACAGGGTAGTTGTCAGACAACCGGAATACCAGGAGATGGGGGAACGGCACTTTAGCAGACTAATAAAATACCACGAGAGAGAGAGAGAGAGAGAGAGAGAGAACCCAGCTTTGACCTCCAACAGGAGTCTTCATAAGGCCGGACACGACAAAGGCAGAAAAATCCCAAACTGTTTAAAGCAAATTCCAAATTTAGGGCTCCAGAGTCCATTCGGATCAAACAAGCTGACTCTGAAATGCCTCCTTCCTAGGAACTGAGTTTGTCTTGAACAGCTATCAAGAGACATGAGCTTTACAAAAGACCCGTTCCTTACTGGTTCATATGGGCCGGCGTAGCCACCTGCAGTTTCGGACTCTTACGAAACCCGACTCGCACTTCCCTGCAGATGGGAGCACTAGCACCTCAAGGAAGAACCATTCAAGGTACAGGGAGAATACCCTTTTTCTGGGGCAACTTACAAAACGTGCAACCTTGTGGTAAAGCATAAGAATAGTGAAGTGATGAGTTTGGACGCGGTATTGTCCCCACATCTCATTGAAGCGTGACTTTACTCCTTGTCGGCGCTAACTACAGTACAATGACTCTCATGTTATTGGACTTAATGTAGGATATGCTGTGGAAGGGGATGGTCACTTAATAAGAAGCGTCAAGCCCGTTTGTGACAAGCAGGAAGACTACTTTTACAACAATCCTGCAGGGTTGGACTGCCGTGCTCCGGTTTTATGGATAGCTGGGCGAGAGTGGAGATTTCTGTATTCAGAGCAAAACCTGGACCATTACGGGAAGCATTAGGAACAAGCCGCTAAACATAAGCCAGGTGACGATGCAGCCTTTTACACAACCATCCCACCCCCTATGTAGAAGTATTTTTAGGAACATGAAATCTGCCCCACTGGGATCCCGAGGGACATCAGATGGACCTCTACGATCTCTGTTTCGGAACCCGAAGGATTTAAAGGATTTATCCATGATAAAAATTACAGAAAGGAGCAATGCACCAAAGGGAATCCGCCAGGCTCCATCAAGCAAAACTAGAAAGGATGAACCTGTATATCGGTGGTGGAGAGGAAATAATAATTGTGTTGTATTTTTAGATCTCACACCCTGTTGAGCTATTCAAGAGGCGCTGCAAACAAGATTGTTAGGATAAAATTAGACAGCAAATAATATCAATGACAAATGGGGGAGGGTCATTTTTTTTTTTGAACCCAGGAAGCTCTCCCTCCGGCCAACTGTTAAAATAAACTGCAAACTAATCACATTTATTAAGATGGAACAAGGAGAGGAGAAACCTTACCTTGCATTTTTTTAAAAAAAAATCTGCAGTTTTGGGAGTGGGGGGGAAAATTAAGACACCCTTGATTCTGGCCCCTCTGGCTTGACCCTCGGGGGTGGCGGCATGATGATTAAAGATTATATCTGATGGGATTTCCCCCAGCAATGTAAAACACTCAATCGGTTAAATGACAGGGATTATTACTATTGTTGTTGTTGTTGTTGTTATTGTTAAAAAACACAAACAACAGACACATTCAATCAAAAGTATAAAAACATTGACCAGTATTATATAACAGATACAAATTTTAACCAAAACCCTAAGTATCTGTTAAATATCGGCACGGTATGTATGCCGTCCCTAATATTGCCGTTTTCCATAGCTCTGATGGTGTAATTTCTGAAATCTGCAACCGCTTATAGCACTAGGTGAACTTTCTTGCTATTGTTCCCAAAGCCCCAAAGACTATGGGGACCACTGAAGTAAGTGTCTTTCTTCTTACTTGGTTAGTTTTTCCAGTTCTTTATCTTCAACTCTGGCATCGCCTGGAATTGCAATGTCAATGCTCCAGGCCTTTCTTCATTCTACTATGCCTGGTGTGTTACGTTCTAGGTGTCTCTCTATTTGGATCTGGAAATCCCACTTGCAATGTCAATGCTCCAGGCCTTTCTTCGTTCTACTATGCCTGGTGTGTTATGTTCTAGGTGTCTCTCTGTTTGGATCTGGAAATCCCAAAGTGAACTAGAACAACTCCCAAATTAAAATTTTGTCTTTTTTTTTAAGCCCCCCTCCCAAAATACCTACGGATTCCTCTCTTCTTTGGCGTTTGAGGATTTTATTTGTTTAACCCAACGTGATCCAAAAGACCAATCGGATGAGGTGGAGGAGGGGCACACAAAGACACCTCCCTCCTTTAAAAAAAAATCCATATTTTTCACCCTATAAACCCTCTTCCCAACCACACAACCGGGGATTTTTACCCCTCCCAGGGAAAGCTGTGTGGACACAAATAGATCAACTCCCCTCTCATTCCTTTAGGTCTGTTTCTTTGTTGTCCCTTGTTTTCAAATAATAATAATAATAATAAAGGAGGCCGAACCCTGTGAGACATTTATTTAGAAAATCCTAAACTTGGCCCTCCACATAGGAAGGGGGGGGAGAGGAAGGTGGGGCCCCTCTTCACACCTGTTTTCATTCATCAATAGGTTTTTAAAAACCAGATTAAAAAGACTCAGGAGGAAAGGAGGGAGGGGAAGGAGGAAAGAAGGAAAAAGGGGGCGTGTTTGGGGGAAAAATATATATAAAACTGCCTATGCAGATCTAGAAGTAGATCTAAAATATGCACTACCAAGAACAACATCAGCGGTGGAGGTGCAGTTCTTTTAAGGAGCCAGGGCAGGAAATATATAGGGAAAATACATATATATACTGTATATGTGTGTGTGAGATCTCCAGAGAGAAGGTCGTGCCATGAATATTTTGCAATATTCTGCCTTGGAAAAGCAACGGGCAGCCTGATCTGCCACAAGAAATGCAATGTTTATTTCCTCTTTTTTCCTCCCCCTTTTTTTAAATCAGGAGAAGAAGAAAAACAACCACAACTGCCCCCCCCGGCTCCTCTCTCCTCTCTTACCTGGTTTTGGAGGGCAGGAAAGCCAGCTTGATCAAGCCATAAGTGAACATCTGGATCCTCTCCTGGGCGACGCTGGCGACTTTCAGGCGGTGCTCCAAAATGTGCAGTTCCATC